ATGATGATGGATCATCTGAAACGTAATAATTATTATACGAAGACAATTCTCACACCCAGGGGATCATATCCCACGTGAGTTTTCTGTTCGAATGGTCGGTGTTTGTCACTTAGAAGTCAACATTTTGATTAATATTCTACAAAAGTAATTTTCACATCCAGGGTGTCATAGCCCACAAGAATTTTCCAACTGAAAATTGATTCTAAACATCCCCTCAACCCCTCAAAAAAGTTTCAGCAAGTATCAACTATTCGAATTGTGGGTTCTTCTTCTATTTCTTCTCTCCTTCAATATCGAGTGATGAAATTGATCGGAGGCGAGTAGACATCGATTGCCATCCGGAAGCATACTGCTAATAAAATTGATTGAAGCTCATGAAGTAAGAAAAAAGTTGCCTGTGTAATTTTTCAAATAGAATATCATTTCGGGTAGATTCTGGGAGAAATGGGGATTCCCCGGTGTAATGGGTTTGATTGATGGAACCCATGTGTCAATCGTGAAGCCAGCGGGAGTTAGAGAGACTCACTTCTTCAACAGGAAGCATAGTCATTCCTTGAACGTACAAGTTGTGAGTATCACTAGTTGATATACAGGGTGTGCCGCGAACCGATCCTTTTCCTTGAAGGATATTGAAGAGGGTGCTTTTTCAAGCGGAAAGTCCCTCTTCCATGTTTCAATCCGAGTTTTTTTTTGTCTTCGCAGCGTGGGCCTTTCTGGAGTGGGGGGGGGAGGAGGAGAAGGAATGAAGCCGGAAGTAATCAATTGAGGAATCTCTGTTTAATCGATTGGTTTTGGTTTCATTTCTTGACCTTAATACAGCTACAATAGCGATATTCTTCAGGTATGTGATCATGAACTTCGCATCCTCTCCCTCAATGCTTGCTTCGGAGGAAAAGCCCATGATTCAGGAGTTTTTGCATCATCCTGATTATCTGCTCATCTGAGGGAACACTACGATGCTGGACGACGGGACTGCTGGTNGATTATCTGCTCATCTGAGGGAACAGTACGATGCTGGACGACGGGACTGCTGGTTACTGGGTACCACTAGATTGAGATTTGATTCTGGTTCAGTCTACGTTTTTTTCTTTCTTATTTCAAGGTGATTCCGGTTATGCCTTATTGCCGTATTTACTCACTCCAATATTAAATCAGCCAATAGTATCACCAGAATTTAGATATACAAGGTGCCATGCTCGAACAAGGTCGACTGTGGAACGATGTTTCGCAGCATTGAAGGGTGTTTGAAGATGTCTATTGAAAGATCGAGTATTGCACTACACCCCAGAGTTCGCAGGTGTTCAGTCCAAGGCCAAATTAATTACCTCCTCCGTTCTACATTTGTTCTATAATAAATAGTGTCCATCGCGATTCCCCTGTCTCCTCCAGAGTATTTGAGGAAATTCCATGATTTTCAGCCCGGATTTGTAACGCCTGTGCAGTGCTACATAATATGGCTATCAAGTGGAAGATGCCTGTAGCTCAGTTCGTTGATCCACGTGTTCATGATGAGGGTGGCGAGGAAGCGGTTGATGATCGTGAAGAAAACGGGCTATCTGGAGACATTCCAGCTCGTGTTGGGGCACAAGTTCGTGCTGGGATAATTGAAGAATTCTTCCATCGCTAAGCCACGATTCCTCTAAGATCTCAATATACAGTGGAGTAGAATTATCTCTCTCTGTCTCTCCCTCTCTCTATCGCAGCGCACTTCATTTTGTTTATTCATTGATTGTTTTGTTTTCAGCATTATTCCCGAAAATTTTTCAATCTCCATTCACACATTGAGATATCAAACTTCAATCATGGCACGAATGAAGGATATACACAAAAGAGCAGCGTTGGATTATATGAAGGAAAATCCTGCTTTGGAGTTTAGTCTGATAAAAGACTCGGCTTTTAATTCGAAGGCGAAACTGGTGAATTTGTTTCTAAACAGAACATCAAAATTGATTCATTCGGTAGACTCATTACTTCGAGAATTTTTGTCCTAGTATTCCGTTGAAAACTTAGATTCAAATTTGAAATTTCCATCTCGGATTATTAGTTTTGAAGCAAAAGTTAATAAAATTATATTTTTTCTTTAGTTTGCGAAGTTCAATGGGTGAATTCGTTGATGAATTCAATATTTCTGACCCTGACAACACCCTTAAGGCATGCATGGATATTTGGAAAAAATANCTAGTATTCCGTTGAAAACTTAGATTCAAATTTGAAATTTCCATCTCGGATTATTAGTTTTGAAGCAAAAGTTAATAAAATTATATTTTTTCTTTAGTTTGCGAAGTTCAATGGGTGAATTCGTTGATGAATTCAATATTTCTGACCCTGACAACACCCTTAAGGCATGCATGGATATTTGGAAAAAATAAAAAACACTCATTACTCAATTCATCCCATTAGAATTCAACTCACAACATGTCTTTCGTTTCCAGTAGATTCTCTAAGGTATTCTATTGATTTGCTATTCCATTATTTTTTTGAGTTAGTTGTATTGAAAATTATGCAACTTCCTCCTCATTTTGTTTTCACTCGCCCGCAGCCTTTTTCTTTCTAATATTTATGCTGGAAAGAAAAAAACATTGTTTCTCCGAAAATTTTAATAACACAAGGATGGAATCATTTTTTACTAGTACTTATCTCGAGACTATTCAAGAGATAACTCAAGAGGAATCGTCAGAACCCTTTTTTAATATCATCAATTTACAAAATATTCTATTGACAAAATCAATTGAATTCGACTTTGATATACAATTTCATATTGGAGCATCAATTAATCACGAAATATCAATTTGAATTCTTTAGGAAGCTTTAAAAGATGGTTTGGCTGCTGCGATAAACGCAGCAGACGGTGGAGTGATGAGGAAGGATGGAGAGCAAGCCATGAGGGTAAATAATTAAACTTTTTCCAAAGTGTTGATCATAAACTAAATTAATCAAATCCGTTTTTTAACAGTCTGGGAAAGATTGGAAAAGAACTGTTACGACCAAGGCAGCGAAACTCAGACGACACGCTGGGGGTACAGGCGGAGGTGATCCCCTTCTCGAGGAGCTGGATGAGTTGGAGAGGGAATTGCTGGATTTGTTGGGACCTGAATCCTATGGCATGCCCAATATTGAAGAGGGCGGCTTCCCATCATCGAGTCGTTCTTCTTTCGCTCGAGGCTATGAACCTGCTCAAAAGAGGATGCGTATGGAGAACAACCGTACGGTGAAGACGGCCACATGCACATCTGGTGCCTACAATAAAAATCCACTGCACAGCTTTGTTAAATCATCCTTCCGTTCAGCAAATGTATTCAACACAATTAATCCAGCGAGACCTCCACCCAATTATCCCACCAATGACGTCACTCATTGTCCTTTGGACAAATATCAGCGCAGCTCATTCCACACCTATGGTGCGAAAGGTTCCTCCAGTCGTCCTAGTGAAAATTCCTTGAGGCACAATGGAAGGGACACTCACGACAAGAATGGCTCACGTATATCCGATCGATCTTCTAAACTTGGAGAATTCTGATGATGAAGAATATCGACTGTCCAAATCCTCGAATCAGCACAAGCACGATAAGGGATTGAAGCGATTGGGGCTAAACGAGACTCATCATGCAGACTTTAAACGCCAACCATCGTACGTTAACCTGGAACAACTGGATGAAGTGGAGGAGTTTCCTGATATTTCCGTGAGACATTTTTTTCTATTGGAGAAATTTCTCTACATTATCCAAATATGTATATATATATATTCTCACGAATCTTCAACAGAAGTACATTGATTCCTGGGACGTTGATCCTCCAGAACAATGGTCAGATGACAATGCAAGCCATGGTCCAGGTAATTTTTTCTCGAATTTCTTTCACCTGATCCAAGCATGAGAAAATTCACTAGCAATTTTATCCCACCTTTTTAGAGATTTCCTATAAATCTTGATCACTGAATTAATTTGAATTTCATCATTTGATCTTTGGAACATTCAATTCCAGAGAAGACCTCCGATAAGCCTCAACTGAAGACATCTGATAAATTTCAAGATAAGACATCTCATGAGGCCCAAGCGAAGACGTCCGATAAGCATCACGTTACAACCAAAGCTATGAATTCAGCTACAAATATCTCGGATCCAGCCAAAACTGCGGTGGAATTGTTGGGAAGTAAAATGGAACGCAAAAAAGAAGAGTCAGAAGCAGCAAGAAAATACAGGAAGAGGAAATTGGAGCTGAATTTGAAAATTTTTGACTTCGAGCAGGAGAAATTCAAAGCTGAAGGGCAGAGGCACGAGGAACTCCTCTCTGCTCTCAATTAAATGAATGGCACTCTTGTTGATTTGCTAAATCAAATTTCATAAATGGGATTGTGTTCGTTGAGGAGCAAGTACTTCCTGATAGGGCTTCAAGGGGGATGATTTTTTATTTTATTCCTCATTTCAAACGACAATTCGCGAGATCAGAGTGTTTTCTTTTCAGGGGATAAAGTGTCTCCTTGAGGATAAGTTATTTTGAGGGCACATTTTTTTCTAATTTCAAATTTTTTCAAATCAAATGAAATTTCAATAGAAATTTCATTTGATTAGAGGGTTTTTTTTTCAAGAAATAGAGCGGCTTCGTGAGGATGAGATTGAGAGCATTTGATTTATTTCTTGACGTCTTGTCATTTCTGCATATGACTTGTTATGTCATTTATCGATGATGTACTGATTATAATAATGTAATGATCAAAAATGTTACAGATTTGTATTTTTTCCAAAATCATCCTAATAAATCCTAACTTTGAATAGGGACTACTTAAATTGGTTTAACGATTATTAAAATCTTTTAAGTCAATCAGAGAAATCAATGATGAATTCAAATAGACAGGCACTCTGCGAATGGGATGGTCATAAATGGGCGTCAATGAACAATTCCATTAATTTATCAACAGGGAAAATTCACATGAATTGGAGAAATCCTCTAAAAATCACCAAAAAGTCAACTAGAATTTTTCAACTCGCTAGAAAATTCTATTGGGATTCTACGGAAAATTTCTATTCACATTTCGCGCTGATTCTATTAGATATTCAACAGGGAAATTTCAATAAATTTGAATTTCTTCCAGAAAATTAGCGACAGAATGTTACAACATAAAAATTTTATTGGAGAAATTATAACGGAAATTCAAAATATATTAAACTAGCGGGCTTCGTCCCCTGCGTTCTTGGAGATTCAATTGTTTGTACACCTCCATTGCGATCTTCTTATTTCTCATACGTCGGTTGACACCATTCGCGAGTGTTTCGGTTTCACCGTTGACTTTCTCAATATCGAAGTGTAAAAGGGGCAATGGATAATTTTATACCAGTCCTAGACACTGAAGACACAGTCTTGATCGACTATGATGAATCTGGACAGGAGATTCACTATTTTTACCGTGAGGCCGGTATGTTCCTCATTTTCTTTATGGAAGTACGTAGAAAATGGTGAGAATAAGCCAATTAATAAGGTAATTGTTATTTCTAGATGAGACGGTAATCCCGAGTCCTCGTTTCCTAGAAATTTGTCGAGAGATGCAGGAAGCCGAGACGGAGTGTGAGGAACAGGGAGGAACTTCCAGAGAAGCTGATNTCCAGCTGCATCAGGTTCTTCTAACCATAGGGCTGGTGCAAATTACACACCGCCAACAACTGCAACAGGTCCCTCTACCTCTAGGGCTGGTGCTAGTCACCCACAAGCTGAAGCTCACCGACCATCATTGGGCGAACTGTACCATGAGGCGCTTGAGTTGCGAATCAATTTGTTGCTTAACAATGAGCGTACCCGGCTGATCGAGATGATGGATTTAGTTTTGGATTACGCAGAATTCAAACGTCCNACAAAAAGGTGATGATGAAAATTTTGCTATCTCCCTTAGATCTCAATGTGTTGACCCAAAATTGGCTGATAGTCAAAATAGACTTGAGCATATCCAAGTACTCCGTTTGTTTTGTTTCTACGAAATGCTTTTATATTATTGTAGTTGAATNTAATCAAGTAATATCCGCGGTTAGTCAGATAAATTCTTTTATTCAACTAGAGAACTCATCCTTCAAGGATGTTTGACTAATATTTGACAGAGTACTTTGATCACATTATCACTAAATTATCACTAGATCCTGACTAAATTTCGACTAAACTCTGATTAAGCCCCGACAAAATCGTGACTAAATACTAACTGAGCCCCAATTCACCATGTCTAAATCCCGACTAAGTTCTGACTAAGTCACATCAACTGGCGAATTTTAGCAAATAATTCACAAACTAAAATGGGTTTAGACACCATCTTCGAACTCGGTCTGTATATCATGAAAACGAGTATTTTGAGTCCGGAGTTAGTCGCTTTAGTCGTATATTTTTTTCCAAATCATGAAAAAACTGCATGGTCACATAAACACACATACATACATACATACATACATATATGTGCATACATGTTCTAAAAACATCAGGTTCGGATTCCTGAGCCCACAATTAGTCATCCTAGCACAAAAAACTAGAAACTTTGATTTGGACGATTACAATGCTTCCATTCGGAAGCAAAAATATGTAATTTGGGCGCTTTTNACTGACGGATAGCGCCATCTCCTATTCATCATTATAAAACTCAGAAACTCAATCCGAAAACGCTCCGTCCCCCCCACCGTCCCGCCCACCGTCACCGCCGCCGTCGCACGATTATCTGAATCGCCCCCCAGAGCCATCTCTGGGCTCGNTGTTCTAAAAACATCAGGTTCGGATTCCTGAGCCCACAATTAGTCATCCTAGCACAAAAAACTAGAAACTTTGATTTGGACGATTACAATGCTTCCATTCGGAAGCAAAAATATGTAATTTGGGCGCTTTTCCGGTCATAGAAAAATGATTATGTTATTTTTATCTGTTTACCTCTCTTGGCACTTCGTTCATTCTCTCTAATAGAAATGGCCNGATCGCCTCATTTTTTTACAAGTCTTTTATGGGAATTAGCGGCGTCTAATTGCTTCGGAATAACTGGCGGAAAATAGTAAAAAATAGTTCACGGACTGGTAATTGGGTCTCGGGAGTGTGCACTGTCTANCCATCACGTCCCACCAAAATGATACACATGAAAGCGAACGAAGTTGTTACAGATTGTTCATAATGTCAAGTTTATTGATTCGTCATTCGATGGATTTCCACTGGAGGACTTTACAGCCACTTTGGGCTGATCCTCAGCTAACACGGAGATTGATAGAAACGGTCCAAGGAATGAGGTGCGAAACAACTCCCTTCCCATAGCAGTTGTAATGCTGATGAGTGATGAGTCCATAGATTTGTCTGATGTTGCCGTTGGTACCTTGGTACCTGGTTGCATGAATAGATTGAGCCACNAATTGCTTCGGAATAACTGGCGGAAAATAGTAAAAAATAGTTCACGGACTGGTAATTGGGTCTCGGGAGTGTGCACTGTCTATGAAAATTGGAATTTGTGTTTTTATTTTTGATAATTACCCTCGCCATATTGACAGGGTGTCACGCTAGTGTGACTTGGCTAAAGGGGGATGGTGGTGTNAGTCCAGGAGGTAGAAGAGACTCTTGAGTTGAGGGGATTTCTCCAGCTTCTCTCCTTTCTCACGTGGAGGCAAGGGCAGACTGGCTAGTGAATGCAATGCCAGGGGGCCACTGAGCTTGTCATTGGGCATGCTTGACTGTTGGGGCTGTCCTCTCCTTGACTGTCTCCGTGGAGATACCTTTCAGGGGATCCTCGTCTCTTGTGAATNTATCTGATTTTTGAAACAAAAATCAGATTTTTTAGTCAACCGATACAGTCATAATAACATTGCATCTAAAATCCTTTTTTTCGACAATTTTCTGGGGAATTTCCTAGGGACATGTCGGGCAAAAATCCGTCCAACCGGGCCTTAATGTGAGTGTATATAATGATAATACAAGTCCCGTAGGGGAAATGCCGGGAGATGGCGGCAGTGTCGACATCCCAACGGGGTCGGTCAAGTCGACAGCAGTCGCAGCCAGAAAAAGTGAGACCCTAATAAAGGTGGGGCGCCACGGTCGATTCTGACGGCTGGGCGAGCTCCCTGTGCCGGTAACTCGGCAGTAGGGCCAGAAGAAGAATATCCATGGATTTTTGGAGTGGGGGACAAGCATATGAGTGGGAATTACGTAGAGTGGGGGTACCCTGGGCAGGGAAAACTTTTGCTAGAAGCCCTATTGGGGACGCTTAATAACAAGCCGCCCTCTATGAATGTCTGCGTTAAGAGTGCACATGTACGATACGCAAGAAAAGGGGGCTTGTGTGAGCGCGTGTGTGTATACCTCTTTGACGGCCATATTGGCAAAAAAACAGCGCCCTCAACGATATTTCCTGTTCCCAATAGCAGTCATGCTGTCACAGGGGTAGGTTCAAAGGGGGGTTTATGTCCTCCTTGTCCTCAATGTTTACTTTATGTTTTTCCGTTGATTCATTCGCCCGCTAATTACTATTAAGGGATGAGACAAGGACTTTTCGATGGAGAATTAGATTCCCCATCTATCAACCCCCGTTTCATCCCTTAATCTTTGTAATAAAAAAATTAAAACTGCGACGAAAGTCACGGTGCTATGAGAAAGCCAATGGTTTCGCGGCGCAGAGTGCCACCCCAATAATTCGCCCGCTAATTACAAAATCGTCTCTCCCCTCCTAATTAACATTACGGAATGAAACCAATGCTGTTCGATGGAGAATTCAATTCCCCATCCAGCAACCCCCTTTCATCCCTTAATCTCTGTAATCAAAAAATAAAAACTGCGACCAAAGTCACGGCGCAATGAAAAACCTAATGGTCTCTCGGCGCAGTAACTCCCGATAACTCGCCCGCCAATTAAAAAATCGTCTCTCCCCGCCTAATTGACATTAAGGAATGAAACTAACGCTGTTCGATGGAGAATTAAATTCCCCATCCAGCAACCCCTGTTTCATCCCTTAATCTCTGTAATCAAAAAATAAAAACTGCGACGAAAGTCACGACCCAATGAAAAACCTAATGGTCTCTCGGCGCAGTGACTCCCGATAACTCGCCCGCTAATTAAAAAATCGTCTCTCCCCGCCTAATTAACATTAAGGAATGAAACCAATGCTGTTCGATGGAGAATTAAATTCCCCATACAGCAACCCCCGTTTCATCCCTTAATCTCTGTAATCAAAAAATAAAAACTGCGACGAAAGTCGCGGCGCTATGAAAAACCTAATGGTTTCTCGGCGCAGTGACTCCCGACAACTCGCCCGCTAATTAAAAAATCGTCTCTCCCCGCCTAATTAACATTAAGGAATGAAACCAATGCTGTTCGATCGAGAATTAATTTCCCCATACAGCAACCCCCGTTTCATCCCTTAATCTCTGTAATCAAAAAATAAAAACTGCGACGAAATTCGCGGCGCTATGAAAAACTTGATAGATAACTCGCCCGCTAATAAAAAAATCGTCTCTCCCCTCCTAAATAATATTAAGGAATGAAACCAATGCTGTTCGATGGAGAATTAAATTACCCATCCATCAACCCTTGTTTCATCCCTTAATCTCTGTAATCAAAAAATAAAAACTGCGACGAAATTCGCGGCGCTATGAAAAACTTGATAGATAACTCGCCCGCTAATAAAAAAATCGTCTCTCCCCTCCTAAATAATATTAAGGAATGAAACCAATGCTGTTCGATGGAGAATTAAATTACCCATCCATCAACCCTTGTTTCATCCCTTAATCTCTGTAATCAAAAAATAAAAATTGCGATGAAATTCGCGGGGTTATGAGAAACCTAATGGATA